TACTATCTGTCCAAATCTTTCTTTCCAGATCACTAGACTGATAATTCTTCAACACTGCTCTGACCTACAGCCCTTTGATTAAATCAAATTTTACATTTTTCATGACCCAATCGAGACTTCATTTTTTTCTTGCTCAGTTTGAATTGCATGCTTATTTGTTTTCTTTCCTCTATTGTGTACATTCTCAACTCTCAAATTTATCTTTTATAGTCTCAGTCTTTTGACAAATCCCCAAACTTGACTAAGTAATACCCTCCATGGATTCTTCTCTGTGTAATTGGATGTGTCTTGGAGAAAAATACATGACCACACCAAAATATCTCACTTTAAACTGACGGCCACTAACCTCAAAAACATAGCCTCCTAATCTATTCAATCTCCCTTTCTTCTGGGCTACTATTTTATTTCTTCTTTCTCCTCTGGACTCTAACACTGTATTCCTCATTTTCACCTACATCTGATGGCCTTGTTTATTATTTCACTGATAAAATGGAAGCAATTAAAACAGAACATCCACAAGGTCCCCTACCTATCTGCATCTGTGTCCTCATTCCCAGTTTTTTTCATGTGGCTGCCTGTGAACTGTCCTAGCCCCTGATAACAGCCAACCCTACCGCTTGGACACTACATGACCTCTCCCTCTGCCTCTAAAGAACATGGGTTGAGGAATTCTCTCTTCTGCATTATCAATTTTTCTCTTTTAGCAGCCAAACAAATCTATTGTAATTTCTTACATCATAAAAATATCTTGATATTGCAGCTCCCTCTCTACTTCTCTATTGTTCTGTGTCTTATTTACATCAGAGCCCCTTGAAGAATTGTCAGCACTTACTATCTTCGATTCCCTTCTCTTATCTCTTCAGCACCCTCAAATAAGACTTGGATACTAAGCAAACACAACACCAAACCAGCTATTTTCAAAGCCATCAATTAACTACTCAGAAAACTAGCCTCAAGTCTCAGTCCCTAATTTGACCTTTCAGCAGATCTAACTCTTTCATCTTAATCTTATCAGTTCCATCTCATCTTTTAGACCTCCAGACATTGAAATAATTTAGAGCTCTATACTTGAATTTACTGTCTCCTTCCAAACTCATGTTCTTGGTGATTGTAAGAGTCAGTGTTCTCTAGAGGGACAAACCTAATAGATTAGATGTATATATGAAGGGGAGTTTATTAAGGAGTGTTGACCCATACGATCACAAAGTGAAGTCCCAAAATAGGCCATCTGCAAGCTGAGGAGCAAGGAAGCCAGTCCAAGCCCTGAAACCTCAAAAGTAGGGAAGCTGAGAGTGTAGCCTTCAGCCAAAGGTCCCTAGCAAATTACTGGTATAAGTCTAAGAGTCCAAAAGCTGAAATACATGGAATCTGATGTTTGAGGGTGGGAAGCATTCAGCATGGGAGAAAGATGAAGTCCTGATGACTCTGCAAATCTGCCCTTTCCACTTTCTTCTGCCTGCTTTATTCCAGCAACTCTGGCAGCTGATTAGATGGTGCCCACCCAGATTGAAGGTGGATCTGCCTCTCCCAGTCCACTGACTCAAATGTTAATCTCTTTTGTCAATACCCTCACAGACATACCCAGAAACAAAACTTTGCATCCTTCAATCAAATTAATGCTCAATATTAACCAACAAAATGATGTCATCCACTTTTCATGACTGTAAGCAAGAGATCTGAGCTGATTACTTTCAAATTTATGTCTCTAGTTTAGACTTCTTCCTGAATTCTAAAGCCTTATATCTAATTGCATTTGCGGCATTCTTACTTGAATATCTAAAAGTGATTTCAAATGTAAAATGTCCAATGTGAGTTTTTTATTTTCTCTACAAACCTGTTCATACTAAAAGCTCAAAAGCACAGTCAATAAAAGCAAAAATAGACAAATGGGATTATATCAAACTAAAAACCACATGCACAGCAAAGGAAACAATCAACAGAATAAAGAGACAATCTGCAAAATGGAGAAAATATTTGCAAACTATTTACCCAACAAGGGATTAATATCCAAAATACAGCAGGAACTCAATAGCGGAAAAAAAAATCTAATTTAAAAATGGACAAATGAGCTGAATGAATATCTCTCAAAAGAAGACATACAAATGGCCAACAGGCCTATGAAAGAATGTTTGACGTCACTAGTCATCAAGGAAATACAAATCAAAACCACAATGAAATATGATCTTCCCCCATTTAGAATGGTTATTATCAAGAAGACAAAAAATAACAAATGCCAGTGAGAATGTAGAGAGAGTGGAATTATTATGCACTATTTAGTTTTCCTCAGAAAACTAAAATAGAACCATCATTATGATGCAGCAATCCCACTACCGGGTATATATCCAAAGGAAAGAAAATCAGTATGTCAAAGAGATGTCTATGCTTATGCAATAAGTGCTGCCACACTATTCACAATAGCCAAGATACAGAATCAACCTAAGTATTCATCAACGGATGAATGAATAAAGAAAATATGCTATATATACACAATGGAATACTATTTGGCCATGAAAAAGAATGAAATCCTTTAATTTGTGGCAACATGGATGAGCTTTGAGAATATTATAATAATTGAAATAAGCTAGGAACAGAAAAATAAATACTGCATAGTCTCACTCATGCACACTGAAAAAGTTGATCTCATGGAAGTAGAGAGTAAAAAGAGTAGTGATTAAAAGTTGGGAAAGGGAAGAGGAGAGAGTAAGAGGTTGGGTAAATGAATGCAAAATTACAGCTAGATAGGAGGAATAAATTCTGTTGTCTATAGCTCTCTAGTGTGGCTATAATTAACCACAATTTATTTCATATTTTCAAATAGCTAGAAGAGCAGATTCCAGGCGTTCCCAATACAAAGAAATGATAAAATGTTTGAGGAGATGGATATGCTGTTACCCTGACCTAAGTATTACACATTGTATACATGTATCAAAATAGTCACACTGTATTCCATTAAAATGTACAATTATTTTTTTAAATGTACAATTATTATGTGTCAAAAATAAGAAAAGATGATTAAAAACTGCTCATCTTGGAGTCTTCCCCATCTTCCTTTGAAGTCATTATTGATTTCTCTGTTTCTCTCATACCTCATATCTAATCTATTAGTAAATTCTGTTGGTTTTGCCTTCAAAATATATCCAGGTCTGGTCACTTCTTACCATCTCCATTGATACCACCCGTGCTACCAATATTTCCTGACTGAATTGTTACAATAACCCTCTAACTATTCTCCCTCCTTTCACCTTTTAAACTCCCATAGGTTGGTCTATGGAAACCATGTGAAACTGTTAAACCATATACTATGTTCAAAACATTTCAGTGAATTTCTGTATAATTCAGAGTAAAAACCAAAGTCTTATAATTACCTGTTAGGACCTAAAGCACCATTTATCTTGCCTGCTCTTTCTGGCCATTTTCTGTTGTTCTTCCCCCTCATTTACTCTACTCTAGCCACCTGCTGTTCTTACAACATTCCTGACATCCCTCTCCTTTAAGTTGGTTGGACTTGACTTTCCTTCTACCCACAATTCTTTTCCCCCAAATCCTGCAGGCCTCACTTACTTCCTTTTTGAACACTTTCTTCACATATCACCAGTGATATGTGAAACTTGGAGAACATTATTATAAGTGAAATAAGCCAGGAAGAGAAAAATAAATACTGCATGTTCTCATGAAGTGTTTATTTTTTTCTGAATAGCCTATTTGTGAACAGCCTATTTTCTGAAAAGCCTATTTTCTGAAAACTTTCTCTCATAGTCCTTACCACTTTTATAAATTCTGTTAATTTGTTTATTTAATAGACATTAATATACAATTTCTGTTTCTCCTAACTATAAGATAAATGAGGGTAGGAATTTCAGTGTCTTTGGTTAGTGATGAACCCCCAGCTCCTAAAACAGTGCCTGGAACATAATAATCACTCACAAATATTGATTGAGTGGAGAATGTGCATATTTTAAAAATCTGTAAAGAAATCAACCAAAATGTTAATGGCCCTTCACTCTGGATAGCAAGATTGTAGGTGAATTCTACTTTCTATTATATATTTTTCTAAGTTTTCAAAATAATCTACATTTAACAATATTATTTTTAATAAGAAAAGATCCCTTACACTTTAACTACATATTTAGGTCTTTCAGCTGAGACTGGAAAGACAGAAATGCTGTAGTACCCAGTGTATTTAAGAAACTCAAGATTTTCTGTAAGCAAATGTTCCTGGCTTATACTGTACTTTGGGAAAATCACCTAAAGTGCCTTCTCATTATTCTTTAAAGTAAAGTAAACTTGCTGGATTAGATTTTAGAGTCCCTGGAAAATTTAAATATATATTACCTTTTTATATTACTATTCTCTGACTACTGAGATGATTTCAATGTAAAAAAGTAAATTTTACCTTTTATTCCCTATTCCTTAAAGCATCTTTCTATTTCAAATAGATGTCATTCCATTACTACTTTTTAACTTATACATTCCCTTTCTTTAAAAGAAATCCACAGACACTGCTCACAATTATATAAACTCAAATGTCATGCTTTTATGTTCCAGGTAAATAGACCAAGTTTCAGAGCAATTTGATAAATATTCACAAGGATGCCGTAATAGATTTGAGACAGATCTTCATCTATAAAATGAGTATAATATTGGTACTAATTCACAATGTTTTTATAAGAAATTTAATAGAAGATGCTTAGCAAACTTCCTGCTACAAAGACTCAGACTTAAGACCTTATTAAGTTCTGTTATTATTGTTAACTATTGTTATGTAGTCCTTAATGTTTTATTCAAAAGTTTGACATACATTTTAGAACCATTTGTTGTACAGTATATCAGATTGTGAAGATAAAGTTAGATGCTAGAAATTTTGAGTAAGATTATCTAGTATTTAAGGTATTCTAAATATTAGGTAATTTTAAAACTAGCGTGTTTCATGTATTGATTAAAAACTAAAACCTTATATCTACATACATAATGATGCAGTGTATGTAATTATATCTTTCTAGGGCTATTTATGTCCAAATGAATTTATTGCTACTCAAGGTCCACTACCAGGAACAGTTGGAGATTTTTGGAGAATGGTGTGGGAAACCAGAGCAAAAACATTAGTAATGCTAACACAGTGTTTTGAAAAAGGACGGGTAAGTTATTTGAAAATGTTTTCACAAATGTTATTTTACAATTGGGTTAACATATGTGTGAATATTTCATCTGATACTGGGATTCATCAATAATCTGGACATCTACAAAGCAATTTTAACTTAGTCGCAATAACTGTGATATACATACATATCAATATAGCAATGACTGTTATGACTGATGATTTTCTCTGAATGCAGATCAGATGCCATCAGTATTGGCCAGAGGACAACAAGCCAGTTACCGTCTTTGGAGATATAGTGATTACAAAGCTAATGGAGGATGTTCAAATAAATTGGACTATCAGGGATCTGAAAATTGAAAGGGTAAAAATTTTTAAAAAGCGGGGGGGACAAGGGAACATGGTATAAAATATGAACAATTTAAATGTCTAAAATAAAATTAATTTCTAGAACTATCGCTTTCAAGGATACCTCTATAGTTAACAATGCTTTTGTATTGTTTTCTAAGCAGAATTTTGAATTGATATCAATCTTTAGTATCAATGTCACTGTATTTGTTCCAGATCACTCTAAAGTCTGCATTAACCAATTAGCATCACATTCTTAGGCTGACAAGAGGAGAAAAAGGAGAGAAAATGATGAGATCACTGGCTTTATTTCATGAAGAAACTGTAATATTTGACTTGAGACAGCAGTTTCCCAAATCACGCATCTCTGAGTCCTAATAATTTGATTTTCTATTTAATCCAGATCCAATATAGAAAAGGTCGTATGGAATCTCACTTTATCAGTTTACATAGATACCTATACACAGAAGATGATATAAGGATCTTTATACTTTTCACATATCAGATTCTCAATACCTGTATGTATGGAATAATTTGTGAATGCGTTCATTTAAGTTTGGGTCAAAATTGTTTTAAAATCTATTATACTGAGTGCTACAAAATGATATACTATATTTGAATATTAATATTCTGTATTAACATTTATTTATAAGCTTTTTAATTGTTTTCATTCATACTGAAAGGCAATTCTCTTTATTGTGACAAGAAAAATCTCTCTTACAGGAAATAATGAAAACGTTTGGTTTGGTAAACAGTCATTTTTAAAAGATCGCCTTCAAAAAGTGAGACAATTGCCTTCAACCTTCATTGTGGGACTTAAATAATTTTGTCATTCATTAATCTGTCCTTTTGTCTAGCATGGGGATTACATGACTGTTCGACAGTGTAACTTTACTGCCTGGCCAGAGCATGGGGTTCCTGAGAACAGTGCCCCTCTAATTCACTTTGTGAAGTTGGTTCGAGCAAGCAGAGCACATGACACCACACCTATGATTGTTCACTGCAGGTAAGAAAGTGATATTTTTAGAAACATCTATTAAATGCCAGAAGTAGTCTTTGAACACATTGGTCTCTCTATTGTTATAATTCCATTTTTTTAAATAAAATCTTCATGTAAATTTCTTCCAGCTTGCCATCTTCAGAGATTTCACATTTAGCATTTCTAGACACATTGGTATAATTTATGTTTTCTAACATGATAGGTCTAAATCAGTCTTGACAAGTCTCTTTCACGATTGGAGTTTGGAGATTAGAGAAAAACGTAGTATGAATTCTACTTAAATGAGATGCTCAGAATAGGTAAATTTATAGAGACAGAAAATAGACTTGTGGTTGCTAGTGAGGAGGGAGATGAAAAATTAATATCTAGTGGGTACAGACCTTCTATTCGGGATGATGAAAAGTTCTGAAAATATATAGTGTTGATGTTTGCACAACATTGAGAATATACTTAATGCCACTGAATTGTACATGTAAAATAGTCAAAATGATCAATTCTCTGTTATTCATCTTTTACCATAATAAAAAGATTTTTTAAAGTAACAATATCTTGTAATTTTTTAAGATTTTATTATACTTTAAGTTCTGGGGCACATGTGAAGAATATGCAGGTTTGTTACAGTATACTATAATTATGTTGTTAAATATTGTATGTTAGAAAAGATAAATTCATTCAATTTTTAAACTTTTATTTTCAAAAACCCAATAGGCAATTTAAATTGTTATACATTTTCCATAAATTCTCTGGATTTTTAAAATTATAAGACTAATGCATAAATGCTTGCTCATTATAAATATGTGAACGATGCTTATATATATAAAATGTGTAGAAAAAAAAGTAAAAGCCTCATTTTTACCTTCTCAGCTTAAAACCCCTCCTTACAGGTAAAAAGCTTAATATAATAGTATATACCAAAAATAGTATAACAATCTGCTTCTACAGTCAGTGATTGATTTTATGCTGGCATCTTGGTGATTAAAACCTTTGGTAGACAGTCGGTGCCTTCAGCTTCTCTGAATCATGCAAATACACTGCCATGGGCACTAAACGAAAAGTACTTTTTCCTTTTTAGCCTCAAAAAGAGTAGTGTCTCCTCCTTTGTGATTTAAATAGATAAAAGATAGAAAGAAAGTATGTTCATATTATTTATTATCTTTCAATATCATTTGAAAATCGTCTACTACATATTTATCTCTAACTTCAACTTCTCACCTTGACTTTAGACTTCTACATTGGGCTTCCAGTTCAACTTGACAGCCATTCAGACTAAAAAGTTCTAGAAATTTGATGTGTACAAAACAGAACACTTGACTCAATCACCAAATTCACCCCTGCTCAGTTGTCCCTATCTTGGTAAACAGCAAGTCCCTCCCATTAGAGCCAAAAGTGCTAGAGTCATCCTTGATTCTGCTTCCTTTCACATTCCACACCTAACCCACCAGCAAATACTCTGATCCCTGGCCATGCCTCACCTCCTCACTGCACTCTCACCTTCCTGGTCTCCCCTGATTTGTGAACATTCAAAAATGCTCCCAACTCAGGTCTCTTCTCATTTTGCTTCTTCTGGCTACCATGATCTTCTCCCTGATACCCACATGGTGTGTTCTCTAACCTTAAGCAAGTATCTTATCAAATATTACATTATCAGAGAAGTTTTCTCTGTTGACTCCATCCTACCCTATCACCTTCTATCTCCTTAACCTGTTTTTGTTTTTGTTTGTTTTCCCCAGTATGGCATTTCTTACCACCAGTCATGTTCTTTGCCTGTTAATTTATGTGCTGTTTTCCTCTAGAATATAAGCTCTATAAATGCAGGGACTTTGTGTTGTTCACTGCTCTGCCCCAGGTGCTCAGAACAGTGTTTAACACTCAAAATGTACTTAACAATTCAATGGCTGTGCGGAATATGTTTATACATGTTACTCTAATCAGTTAATGTTGTAAGGCTCACAATTTCTTAGGTCAAATTATAGGAAATTGCCAATATTTAAATGTTTCTTACTACAGAACTATAAAAATGGCAGTTTCATGTGGTTCAAAGTAATATTTATAAGACTAGATAACCTTTCAACATTTTTTTCAGATTAATTTCCTTTATTAACCATTTAATTTCCTAGGGATCTTGTCTTTCTGACAATAGGAATTTCTAACAGTAGGAATTTCTGAGTCAATCTTGTGAGGTTTATCAGTTAACAGTTTCTATGGAGCACATGCCAGTCTTTGAGTATTAATATAATTTCTTAAAAGAAAATAGTTTTTCAATTTTGTTATCTATAGGAGGTAAAATAAATTCTAGAGAAAGAAAGTGAAAAGGACACTTGCAAGACTATTTTTCAAAACTATGCAAAGAAAATGCTTTATGAGCTAAATATTGAACATTTGTAATGTTTAGCATTTCTGCTGCTAACTGAAAATTTAGTCAATATAGAGTCTCTGGTATTAAGAATTTTCAATGATTTTTTAATAATCTCTATTATTCTCCAACAACACCCCCTAAAATATTAAGAAATAAGAGGCTAATCTCCACTAATTAAAGAAAGAGAAACTCAAATGTTTGATAGCATATTAATGATAATCATCTTGCCCTATTTAAACAGTCTTCGTAACTGTAAAAAAATCCAAAGAAAGTCTGCCTCCAAGTAAGAGAAGAAACTGTTAGAATTTTTTGCTATCTTAGCTCATTATCTTTATCCCCATCAAGATGAACAACCCTTTGCTGAATAATTTTCATGTAATTTTACTCTTCCTGCAGTGCCGGAGTTGGAAGAACTGGAGTTTTTATTGCTCTGGACCATTTAACACAACATATAAATGACCATGATTTTGTGGATATATATGGACTAGTAGCTGAACTGAGAAGTGAAAGAATGTGCATGGTGCAGAATCTGGTAAGATATCTAACCCTGCACTGCATTCTAAAGTTCCAGAATTTCCACAGGGGAGGTTGTAGTGGCAGCAGTCTGGATGGACATGGGCTTGAAGCTGTATTTGCATGGTGGAAGCTCTTTTCCTACGTTATAAGCTTTTTGGGGAAGTCCTGGGGAGGGCAGCTGATAGCAATTACAGGAGAACTAATGCCCATGTGCCATTGTCACCCTGCAGCATTGTTACTGATGTCTCATCTTAACTCATTATACTGATAGGTATGTAGGAAATAACTTATAAATTGATTTATCTTTGTCATTTAGCAGCTTTGGAATCTCAAAAAATGAACTCAAGTCAATATCTTTTCAATGCCAATATCTTTTGAAAAGTTATAAGTGGGAAAACAGTTTAAAATGTTGATCATAATGAAGTTCTGTGGATTTTACTTCTCTATATTTATCCCTATTGCATACCATTACTAATAATGAATATTGTAGCATGCTATCAACTGTTAACTGGGAATTTTTTGTTTGTTGTTTTGGCTCACACACAAAAAAATTTATAAAATATATACAATTTTAATTTTTAAAATTGCAGAGTATAATGGTAATGTGGCTAAAAACCTCTACTGAGTGTCTACTGGGTACCAGTTGCTATATGAGACCCTTCACATGTATTATCTTATTTAATCCTAATTAAATTCTTTATTTGTAAGGCACAGTCAGTAAAACCAATCAACAGACTAAATATTACTGGCTCTGCTTTACAAACAGGGAAGCACATGTTCCAAGAAGTTAAATGATATTCCAAGATGATATTACTGATAAGTTCCAGAGCCCAAATTCAAACCTTTGTCTGTATAACTACAGTATGCATGATATTCCTATCTGTAGCTTTGGATTGAAATTTGTATGCTACACAAACAGAGATTTTCTTGCAATAAATGCACAGATCTGCTTTAACAATATTTTCCAGGTTACATTCTAGAAAACATACATGCCTCAAAGTAGTTAAAGATTTGAGAAAATGAGTTCTCTGCTAAAATAAGTATGAGAAAGAAATTAAACTGATTTTTAACACATAAATTTCTATGGCCTTAATGCTAATTTCACTGACCATTACAAAAATGGATCCATATGGGCAACTTTTCTCAAACTTTGATGATTGTAGAGCTCTTCAATCCTTTTTGATCCAGACCTGTAGGAACATGTCATGGAACATTAATCCTCCTTGGAAGATGCTGCTGTAGACCAGAGATATCCAAACTTTTTAGACAAACTTCCCTTTTAGGAAAGACGTTTGAGCTTCAACTCTAATACAGATATATTTATCTTTAAATGTAGACTGTTTGGTTATATAAATTATAAACATAAATAAGAAATTGAAAAACATGAGATAAATATCAAAGAAGCAATATTTTCAAAACCTTGCTCATTGCTCAGTCTTCTTATTATCATTAGGTATTTTCAGAAAAGGAAATATACACTTAGGACAAAATGCTTTTATTTTGATAGAGGTTTTAAGTATATATTTTAAGTTTTTATGCTTTTTTAAAAAAGAGATCTAGCTTTTTGTCAGGTCTGATTACATTGTTGTTATATTTACCTCATAGTATGACTACAAAAGTATTCTAGGAGCATGATGAAGGTGTCAGCCTTGCCAGTTTTTGTCGTTCATTTGGGCTTGCATGATAAATATTATCTTTAATTCATAGTCTCTTTGTAGGAATCTTCCTCAGTTACTTTGATAATTAGGTAAACTAGGTAATATAATGCATATTCATTCCCTTATATACTGAGTTAACAAATGAGTTAAGTGTCACTCTTTCCCTGGGATACTTCAGAAATGGAATATTACACATGACCAGGGCCAGCCTCATGGGTATGCAACATGGGTAGTTTCACAGGTCCTCACATTTAAAAGGGCCCTGAAATTGGTTTAATTTTTGCTGTCACTGTCTTGAAAAATCTTAAAATTACATTTTGAGGCAAGAACTTTCCATTTTGTAGTGGAATTTTACGTTTTGCATTCTCTCTAATCCAAGTTGGGCTGACAAATTAGGTAGCTGGTCTTTATCAAGGGGTCTTATGAAGATTCTAATATCAACCCAATTATTAATCATTATTAAAATTCAATTTCCTTCTCACTTTTAGTTAAAAATAAAGATAAATAGAAAGATAACATTTTCCTCCCATGTCTCTAGGTGTACACATATACACTGGTGATCAATGCTCTTAATGAAATTAAGGGTTGGCTCTCTTGGGTAGGATACAGGATGGAACTGATTGTTTCCTTCTAGAGTCTAGAGTCAATCTTCAAACAGTAAAAGTTGAAAAAACTTCCATGTTCTATGACTTTGTAAAACTAAATTCTGTAATGAGTGTGTTCAAGAGTGTCTATTAATAATTTTACGCAATTTAGTAGTCAATATATGTTATAAACTTCATGCATGATTCTATTTAACCAGCCATAGCGAATTGTCACAGCTTGGGATGGGAGCTTGGGGTGGTGGGGATTGAGGGGAGGTGTGATTAGAAAGAGAAAGTTTTTGAAGTCACAGAACTAAATTCAGAATACAGCTCTGCTAATTGTTGGCTCTGTGACTTTGTTTAATTAGCCTCTCTGAGCTATTTCTCTTTTGTAAAATAGCCCTGTTACACTTTTCACAAACTTGTTATCAGTGTTAAATAAGAGAAAGTTTGTAAATCACCAACATGGTGCCCAGCAGGCAGTAAATGTTCAATATGATTTTTTTTTCTGATTCTCTTCTTGCTGAAAAGCAGGTACCCAGAAGCCTTCTTTTATCTGTCTTAGTTCCCAGAAGTTCGGCTCTTTACTGTTTTTTCCCTGTGATGACAAACAGAGAAATGATCACACCTCGCTTCTGGTCCTTAAGCACCAGCATTGCCTTGCACAAGAGCAGTTTCTTGTTTTCTTTTCCTGCACTCCAGAGTGATTGCAGTTTCTATGAAGAATGTTCCTGTCTTACAGCACATACTACAACAGCCATGGGCGGCTGGGGTTTAAGGCAGCAGCTTCAACAATATACTGCCACTAAAAGGCACTGAGGGGCATGGCCCTTACCCAAGAGAAAGCTTTGATTTCTTTCACTCAAAAAATAATGCACTGGGGGCTGAGTGCGGTGGCTCATGCCTGTAATCCCAGCACTTTGGGAGGCTGAGGTGGGCAGATCACCAGAGGTCAGGAGTTCGAGACCAGCCTGAGCAACATAGCAAAACCCCTTCTCTACTAAAAATACAAAAATCAGCTGGGCGTGGTGGCATGTGCCCATAATCCTATCTACTCCAGAAGCTGAGACAGGAGAATCGCTTGAAACCAGAGGCAGAGTTTGCAGTGAGCCAAGATTGTGCCACTGCACTCCAGCCTGGGTGTCAGAGCAAGACTGTCTCAAACAACAACAATAACAACAACTACAAATAACAACAACAACAACAAAAAGCAATGCATTGTAGCCCCAGGAAATTTGAAAGGCCTTTCTGAGAGAATGCTCTGTAGTGAGATAATATCCTAAGATACTCTTAGTGCCTCGCATAAGTGGAAATTTACTCATAGAAGCTCATATAGAGGAAGAAAAAAAGTTAACATATTTTGGGTGCCCAGTTTTTTGCTGGGCATTTTACATATGTTAAATCCTTTAAATCTTACAACACAGGATTTATGACACACACTTCCACCACCAGATGAGGAAACTGTGCATCAGAAGAGTTTAATTCTAAAGGTAATATGGCTATCTAGGACAGAAACTGGGATTAAACTTTTTTCACAACAGTACACTGCTTTCTTGGCAGTAACCCATAATGGCAGAGGGACCTTGGAACCTGTAGGACTGTCTCACGAAGCTCAGCCTGCTCTGCTGGCAAAGTTTACACCTATCATTCTTTCCAGTGGAGAAGATAAAATCAGGATAGTCAGAAGTATCACACCCCAAATGTGACTTCAAATTCTAATGTGTTTATAAAAATGAGTAAATAAAATACTAGAACTCATAAATTTAAATGATTTCCAAAAAGATTATGTTGTGTCAACATATTTCTGCCAATAATATAATTCATTGTTTCATGAATGTTTGAAAGCACACCCTTGGAATTACCTTAAGAAGTAACTTTCTAGCAATTTCAATAGAAATTTTATTGCTTTATAACAACACTTCATTTCTTACCAAAACTGAATTCTACAAACTTGATCATCCACCTCATTTACAAAACTTGACACCTAATGACATTTGAATTTTCTCCAAATTACATCTGCTCTTAAACAGTGAAGATTGCCTAGCTGTGAGAATTAAATGAGGCTAAGTCAAGAGACATTTATGATGCAACTACTATGTGCCACGCACTATTATAGGCAACCGGAATATAGCAGTGAATATGACAGAGTTCTGCCCTCACAGAACTGATGTTCCAGTAATGAGATGTTCATGGAAACATTTTATAATCTACAAAGGAATAGATACTCATAATCATGACTAACAATTTCTGAAGACAATTAGAGGAGTTCCAAAAGGTTTGGTGGTATAGCAGCAATAGATATGAATATAACCTCTGAAGCTGATCACGTTTGAGAATGTTCTATTTAAATCATTGGCAATTTGAATATATGTCTTAAACATTTGGTGATATTCCTTCAAAGTCAGATATGTCTGTTATGTACAAATGAGGGTGATTTAAAATACACTTTTTTCTTAGCTTTAACTACTTTTGTTAAGGTCCAAACTCAGAGATGCTAGTAGGTTATTGAATTACATTGAAAAAATTTGGAGGATCCAAATGGTACTGAATTTAACCCAAACATTCAGATGCAGTATTAGGAATCCTTGACCAGCACCTGGATGTTTGGGCATTTCAATGACTCGCTGCCTTATATTTACAAAACAGGACCAAATACTTGACCTTAAGTAGGCCACATATCCAGGTGACTAACAGATTTGTTAAACATATTTTAAATGCACTGATGATGTATAGATATGCTCACTCACATATTTCAAAAGTAAATTTAGTATTTGTATTCCAACAGTCATTCTAACAAGAAAATTGTAAGAGAAGTTACTCAATTAGATTTAACAGAAAAAAGGAAACTCATAAACAAATTTAAGTAATACAATTTTCTACTTCTTATAATCACAGCAAGAAAGAATATATTAACACTTGGTGTTTAGTGACAAGTGTTAGAAAAAAACTTGAAGCTTCAAGAGACCACAGGAATTTAGAAAGCCTCATATATGAAATGGTAGAAAATAATATATATACTATGTTAAATTCTGTGTCTGTAACTTAGCTGTTTATTTGATGAATTCAGTACTTCTTTTAGCTTTAACGGTGTAACTCCTTGTATAAAACTCTTCATCCATCTATTTGTTTAACCATTCTGTCTTTGGTATCTAGGCACAGTATATCTTTTTACACCAGTGCATTCTGGATCTCTTATCAAATAAGGGAAGTAATCAGCCCATCTGTTTTGTTAACTATTCAGCACTTCAGAAGATGGACTCTTTGGATGCCATGGAAGGTAAACAGAAACAACAATATGTACCCAACTTACTAGTGTGCCAACTACAGTAGGAAAAATTTCAAAATAACCATATGTTAAAAATGTTTAAGAAACTGGATTAGTGCACAGATCAGATTTTTTTCAAACTTCTCTGTAATCCAAGTTGGGCTAATAATATCCTTTCTGTCTGCATTATATTTTTATCATGAAACATTTAAATTTTGAACTTTTAACTTCAATATTCTCTTGTAACATGTTACTTTCTGTTTTAGGTGATGTTGAACTTGAATGGGAAGAAACCACTATGTAAATATTCAGATCAAAGGATACAATTGGAAGATATTTTTAAATTCCAGGGGCCAAAGTTACCCCCTCATTCTTCTGGATTAAAATGGGCAAACTTAAAGAAATATCGAAGCTTCCCTAACTGTGCCTTTCCAAGTGGATTGAACATTTTAAGACTAGTTCTAGAAAATAGCTAATTCAGAATAATTATTTGTTTTGTACAGAATAAATATTATGCATTTTAAATGCTTAAGAAAAGACATCCCATATGTTTTTGAAGTCCTTCATATTTTGGAACAAGCCAAATGAAAATTATTGTATTAGCATTAATGTTTCAATGTGAATTTTCCCTATGTGTTGGATTTAATTTTGAACAAAAGTTATAAATGTTGATTCAGTAGTGTTGTTTTGGCTTCCAGGGTGTTGACGTTTCTTGTGGATAATTTCCAGGACTGTCATAATGATCTGTACTTCCATGTACGCCCTTGTGTTTTGAATCCTCTGTTTTATGAGTGCTGAGATATCATCTCATGATCCCGAACAGCTGAACAGTAACCCCCTGACACTGCAGGGATTACTTAGCTTTTATACAACACACAGTAGCTCTTCAGGGACACTTAGGGCTATTTAATTTGCATTGTGATCTTCAGTTTGAAAAATTAAAAAGAAAAATTAAAAGTGCAATTGCACACATGCAGTTACAAAGTACCATTCTAGCTGACCTACATTTGTAAACTTTCAGGCACAAGTTTTACCCCTGTATTGTGTATTCAAATATATAGTTAAATGTATTAGAGTATTCACCCATTAGATATCTATGCAACCTAATATTAACAATTCTGAAGAATTTTTTTCAGCAAAAATGTATCAAAAGAGTAATAAGAACACATAGTGTGTTGCAAGCTTGTAAACCAATGATGTGCTGCTGTAGTGCCAACAGAGACTTCCAAATGGATTATATTAAATGGCCTTCATTTCATTTTCCAAGGTTGATTATTGAGCAGTATACTTGGTGGAACTGAAAACAAATTAACCATGTGTAGCAAATTCGAGATTGCCTTAAAGAAAATCTTTCAGCCTCCATCTTATTAAATAGTGACCATGTACTAAGTTTTGAATTATATGAAGTTATTTTGTCATAGATTTCAATTAACAGTAATAGAAATAAATAGTGTTAATTATTCTCTCTATGGTAAGAATTATATCTTATGCTTATTTCTGCTGAATATACATAGAAGAAATGTGATGGCCAATAAAATCGAATTTTAATGAATTATCTAGCAGCATAATTTCAGAACCTCCTATATAAATAAATATTTGATTTTGTATCTCATATTAAGACATAATAATTATATTAATTCTCAAATATAATATATAAAATAAAGATTTGCATATAAGTAAAATATAATGACATAATTTATGTAATATAAATAATTAACATATAATTATTTCTTAAGATATCCGTAGATAGTAAGTAATTTTAATGTGAGATTTACTATCCAAGAAATTAAAGCCCTTAGTTTCACAGCCTCTGGAAAAGTGTAAAATTGACTTCCCTTTTTTTCATGGCAAGGAAGTATAAATAAATACAATCAACCACTGTTCCACCCAATAAGTTTATAGAAAGTAACTGAAAGCAATAAAAAATGATAACTCTAAAAGATTCATGTAGGGGTTATACATTCTTTAGTTTCTTCTATGTCAGTCATTGAAAATGTATGGCAAGCCACTATGGAGTTTTGTATCACGAAAGACAGATAACATAGCCTGTGGGAAGTATTGTTGAGGTTACTTTTTAATGTATCATATGATTTTAAAACATAATTCAATCTACAGGCCAGCTCACTTTCTATTATATCTGTATAAATCAGATGTGTAGAAGATAGAGTTTGACCCACATACACATACATATGTGTGTATATAAAACACAATTTGAATACTAAGTCTCTCTAACCATGCTTATCAAACTTTAATGTTTATACAGAATACCTGGGGATTGTGTTAAAATGCAGATTCTGCTTCACTAAAAATAGAATAGTCCTGAGAGTCATTTCTAGCAAGTACTTGAGTTATAATATTGCTGCCTAATCTCAGGATATATGTTGAATAATGTATGAATCTCTAAAAGACATAAGTCAGGATCAGAACAATTTTAAATCTACCTGAAATTATTTAAAACATGTTTTTAAAAAGATTTAACTTCAATATAAAAAGAATTGTAACCATTTATAAAATATACATAGCTAGCTATGTCAAGACACTAACTAAAATTAAACTGAAACCCAGATATGAAGGATAGCTAAACTTTCTTTTAATGATATTGTGAAAGAAGCAATTTATAGCCAGGTTCTATAGGTGGCTACTAGTGCTAGTTAAAATAATGAAGAACATCTGTAACATTTTTAGATCAGATTTGTCAAAATACATTGAAGCACATGTACAATAAATGAGCAACATGTGTTTCATATGAACCAAATGAAACTGGAGCCTCTCAGAATGGTTTGCCAGAGACAAGAGCAGCTGTGGGTATCACCACTACTTTCATTCTGCTTTAAAATGCCTCATTTTTTTCTTTCAGTTTATAGGTGAAATATGTAATAAGTCTTTTGCAGAAAAACTAATTAAACCTTGATCTCTTCATAAAGGAGATGGTGATTCATTCCACATATTGAACCAAACACTCGATTTTAAAATGAAATTTAAGTTCAGCAAAGTATTCTATAAGTCCATGCCATTATTCTGATAATCACATCCATTTTCATTAGCCAACCTTTAGAAAATTCAGTGAACTTTTATGAGAAACTTGGGACACAATGATTTGAACTTCTCAACTGAATTATATTTTTTTAAAGTTTATAAAGCAGAATGTTGGCAAAATAGCTAGTCTTCTTAGGACAAGCAATATTTCATGGTAAATGACTTTATAAATATGGATAGAGTTTCCATGTAGAATCAGGGCTGGTACACCTACCAGCTCATGGAGATGTTCTGAGAAACAGAATAGATTATGTATAGGAAAATGTTTTGAAAAGCACAGTGAACTTTACAAAGTTAGGATAATCTTTTACCAAGACTAGTCAATGTGTAATGTTTGTGAAAAAGATAATGCATCCCATTTTAAGATTGTATTGTACTTTGTGGGTATTAGTATCATATTTGTATGTCTGTTTCACATGCACAGACTGAAGAGAAAATTATGGCAGCTACATTGACTTCTGGTAAGTAAAACTACTGATATTTACTAAGTAAAAAATTAAGTGCTTTTTCAATGAATTTTTGATTAAAATTAATATATAGACATGTACACAAATAATATAAAACATAATTTGGAAAACAAGCCAAGAAAATTTTCATTTCAGAAGATTCAATTGGACATTCTGAATCAGTATCTGCGATATTGTCCTCTGAAAATAAAACTCATTTAATAGAAGGTTTAATCTGTTAACAGGATTATGTTCCTAAAGTCACAACCTTAAATTATTTTAATTTTACTAAAAGTATTGTTAGGTTGGGAAGTCATTTTAGTAAATTATAAACTTTTTAGAGTACTTTTACATCCATCATCCCTATTAATCCTTACAAAATCCTTTAAGATCGGCAGGGTCCTGTACTACAGGAAAGATAATGAAAGCTTAATTGCTGTGCCTGAAACCACATTTATTAGTAAAAGTTGAGGCTGAAATTAAAACTAAGTTTCTATGACTCCTGGAAAGTACTCTTTTCATAACGTTATGTCAGTCTCTCTGTAAGTCAAATGACATGCTTTGAATAGCGTAAAATGCTCATGATAAAGAAAGGTTATAATCATCATATGTCCCAATTCCCTACCAGCCAGTCAGAGATTTTCTGCTAATCGTATGAAAATAAGTAACAGAAACCACAGACGATTTTAGAGGTAAATAAGCTCTTAGCATGAATTTACAAGAGTAAAAATAATCTTGATGAATACAATAATATTAAAGAAGAAATGTAAAAGAAGCAAAAAAATTAAAATATTAAAAAGGAAAGAAAAAAACACTGAAATTTATAGAATAATGAAAATAAAGCTAAAAAAAGAGAAGAGGTTGTCAAAGTCAAAAAAGCTCCATAGCATTTCTCTCTCTCTCTCTCTCTGTTTCTCTATGTGTATATATATATATATATATATATACACATATAAAATGTGTGTATGTATATATAATCAAATCCTATCAACTCCTTTACCCTACTAATAAGCAAAAGAAAGGGAAAGAGTAAGAAAAGGATAGAAGAAACAGGACAAAAAAGAAAGCTAGAAGATATAAAAGAAAGAAAAATGAAAGAAATATTCTGTAATTCAATATATGAATTTAAGGAGTGCCTGGCACTGTGCTGGAATCATAACATGAGTTGGTATTTTATCTCATTTAAACCTCATCTATGAGATTAACTCCACTAAAAGAGTAGGAAATGGAAGCACGGGGGGATGAAGAAGGTGCCCAAATTCTCACGTAGAGTAATTGGTGGTATAGAATTCAAATCCAGGGCTATCTGGCTGAAGTTCAAGTTCCTTTCAAGGTATGTATCCAACCTTATTTTATGTTGAAAAGCGGCATGCAGAAGCCTGGGAATAAAGAAGCCTCAGGAAGACAGTTTTTTTAATCCTATTTTGTGCTGACTTCCATTTCAAAACTTTTTAATATGTGCATGGGCTGTAGGGAATTTGAACATGTGAAAACAGCCTACATGGGTGAACTTTCAGATTAATTTGTCTTTCTAATATTCATTCTTTTTCCTTCTCTTATTCATCTGATATAATTAAATTTGTGTAAGTATGTATTTTAAAAATCTGTAGCCAGATTGGATGGGTATCTCATCTGTATTTACTAATTTTGTGATTTGAGTCAAAAAGCAATAACCAGTTTGTACCTCAATGTCCTCATTCCTAATATGGAGATGATTATAATAGGTACCTAACATATTTGTAGAGCAATCTTAGTTCAGAGTAAACACTCAATGAGGTTTAGATTGTAATATACATGATTATGAAGCGCCGTCATTTGCCTGAAGTAATACCCAAGGTCTGTTGTCTCACACCAAGGAAATCAAGGACGCTGACACACTAGGGTAGGTTAAGGGCAGAAGCTTGATAGGTAAAAGAAAGAGAAAATCTTTGTTGCTACAGAGACGGGTCCCAGGGAAAATGGGTTGCCCCTTCTACGGTGAAGTGCAGGAGGTTTTATAGATCAGCTTGAGGAGGTGGTGTTTGATTTACATAAGGCACAAAAGATTGGTTGGACCAGATGTGCCATTTGCATAATACATAAAAATCTGGCCACCCCTACTCTAATCTTTTATTATGCAGATGTTTCTCTATCTGGCTGGTATCATGCTGCCTGCTTCTTTTACTGTACATGTGGTGACAAAGAAAAGGGAAGATGGAACCTCCCTGTTGAACATGCCTGGCCCCCAGGTAGCCTTCACCTATTGGAACAAATGCTGAAATTCACCTGTGCAAGCTTCCAGCCTGGTAATCTATGTCTGCAGCATGATTTTTCAGGCTGCTTTTGTTAGAAAAGAAATAATTTGGGGGCTGCTTTTTATTAAAAGGGAAGTCTTGCCAAGGACTCCTTTATCCTCCCTATCTGCCTAAATAATTTCTAACTCCTGTATCAATAATGGTAGTAGTTATGATTTTTTTTTTCTGTAGGAGTTCAAATATGCCAAAGCTATGACCTATTGATTCACACAGCCACTTGAAATATATAGTGAAAACAGAATTATTATCATAATGATTAGCTTCAAATTAGCCTAATGGTGATAGAGGGAATTATTCCTTAGTAGTTAGTGGAATTTCACATTCAACATTTTTCTTTTAACTTTAAAAATGGAAAAGAAAGTAAACGTGATAATTGATTTTGAGGCATTCCTAACCTTATTCCTTACTATATAAACTACATTTTTCCAAAATTTCATCTTTATAATAGTCAAATAAAGTTGTTTTCAAGTAAAAATAATTTTTTAAAGAAGTATAGCACTTTGAAATTTAAATGAAATAAAATTTTGTTTATTTTTCTATATTTTCATTTCAAACCCATATGTCTTTTGCTAAAAAAAAAAAGATAGTTACAGTTTTAGGTAAAAATAAATGATTGAATAGATGATTAATATAGCCTCAAAATACTGAACTATACCAAAGAAATTAAATGCATTTATTACAAATTAAACATACTTCTAAAATAACATAAGTTGTAGATCAAGAAGATAAAT